GAAGACAGCAAAAATAACAAAAAAATATCCGCATATATGTTAGGAAGAGGAAGAGAAAGCAGACGAGAATCTATTGTAAAGCCACACCAAATCTGAAGCAAAACAACAACAAGAGCAACACAAGTGAACCAGTTAACAGTTATGAGAGAGAAAGACCACTCACCAAGAAAGATGCTTCCTAGCCCAAAACAGGGCTGTGTTTACCCTGCCTTAGGATTAATACCCACATCGTATATATCACATGTACCTTATGATCTGTCCGCCTCGACGACGGCGGCCATAGCCACCAGCAGCATGACGACAACAGCAGCAGCGCGACACCAACACCAGCAACACCAACAGCAACAGCAACAACAGCAACAACAATCACATCATGGCAACAAGGCGAAGCGACGCAGCAGCTACGATCAGCCGCTGGACCTGCGATTGGCCCACAAGCGACGGCAGCCCGTCAAGCTGCAGGAGGAGGAGGAGGAGACGCTGGAGCAGCAGCCGCTGGAGGATGAGAACAGCAATCTGATCCTCTTTGCCAACGAGCTGGCGGTGCAGCGCAAGGAGAAGGAGCTGAACAACAATCACATAGCCGCCTCGCTGGCCGACCTGGGCTTCGACATGAGCCGCAAGATGCTGCGTGCGCTGCGCGAGGGCGTCACCACGTCGCCCCCAGCGCCAGCGCCCAATGCCATTGTCGCTGCTGGCGTGCACTCGACGCTGCTGGAGGCGATGACCAAGACGCTGCCGCTACAGTATCGCAATGTGTTCGCGCCGCCGACGGGCGCGCCAACGGGCGCGACATGTCCGACGACGCCGGAGTTTGCGTTTCGCCATCCGCTCAAGAAGAGCGATCTGAGCTGGCCGCCCAGCGAGCAGCAACAGCATCAGCATCAGCTGAAGCTGGAACAACTCAAGCTGGACTTGCCCACGGCCACGACTACACCTACGCCGCATCCCCATCCGCATCCGCATCCGCAGCTGCAGGAATTCCAATCGCGGCAGCATTCGCGCAAGGCCAAGCAGCGGCAGGCACAGTCCCAATCCCAGGCCCAGCCCCAAGCTGCTGCGGTGGCCGGAGGCAACTCCCTGCCCGTGCAGCGCAACAAGGATCGCTACACGTGCAAGTTCTGCGGCAAGGTCTTTCCGCGCTCCGCCAATCTCACCCGGCACCTGC